TCTGTCTGTCTGTCTATCTGTATGTTGAGTATAAGAGCACATTGCTGCAATAAAGGTTCAGTGGAAAATATATAACATAGCTATAAGTTAATACATTTTTTATTCAAAGATTTAACTAAGAAATATTACACTGATAAAACATACATATAAAGCTTCAATTCCCTCAGCATACATTTCTTTGGACAAAGCAGTGATACACCTCAGCATTGTCCAAGGTAAAAAGAGCATGATAAGATAACAAAGTTTATCTCATGAATCGAAAAGACCTGTTGTCATCTTCTGTCTTCCCCCATGTGACTGATAGTCAAAACCTGATTGCTGTTGTTGTGTATCCACCTTAGACCTAAGAGACAAGAATCCTGCTGACAAATACTCTGAGCATTGAGTCCCCCCGAGGCCATGGGTAATGGCTGATGCCAGCACCCATATGACGGCTGCCAGTTCTGCTGATGCAGATGGAGCGGAGATGCCTAACATGACCTTTAGTGAATGCCACATCACATCAGGCCTGGATGTCAACCACTGACATTATGCTGGGGCATGAAAAGGCTGCTCTGGAGGGGGAGACGTGGTGACGAACGTACCCCGGGTGACAAACCTGTGGACGTGGTGTAATCCTGATTGACATGAGGAGGATCGGGTGGTTTTGAATGGCAGGGGACAAATGAGAAAGTATGAAGGGAAAGATCTGGATTTTTTAATTCTTTAAGCGTATGGTAGGTCTGATGTTTCTTGGCATTCTCTCGCAATAAAGTCCTGAGACAACTTACTCCAAATGGCATCATTATCCCAATCATCAAACAATTCTCTAAGCACATCAGAAATCCCTCTATAAACCTATAATAAGCAAAGACTCTATATAATCAGTAGGCGTGTAAGGATTGGTGGAGGGGAGTAAAGTTAACGCTTGGCGGCCAACGCTGCAGTGGTGGGTAGAAAAGGCAGGTTCTTGGCACACTTTCAGAGGACATGAAGGAGCAATAAAATCCATTGGCTCCTGCCACACCTGTACTCCACCCTACACAGTGGCCTGCTTCCTATTTAAAAGCATCACATGCAGGATATTAGTCAGGGGTTTTAACCAGCTGTGAGGTAGAACAAACCTCTGAAGCAGAGGGGGGAGCAGGGGAAAGTATGCAGGCTGTCGTTTGTTTTTTTATTGGGGAAATAATGGCCTATTGAGAGGTTGGGTATTTAATGAGCAACATAATAGGGCCTGTAGTAACACATCTGCCAAGAGCAGAGTCATTTCCGCAACTTTCAAAGGCTGCAACTCGAGCCTTTGAAAAAGCAAGTCCAGTTGCTTTAAACTTCGTCTTCCTACATATCTGCTTTTTATAATTTGCAGAATGGCTACATACATAACAAGGCAAACCTGCTGCTGGGCAGCATGTTCAACACTAACAACATTAACTCCTCTCCTGCCTTGACCCCAAATCTCTCACTGTCTGCTTTAATTCTGCCATTCCTCATAACACCCCTACTACTCCAATCAATTGTGTTTAATGTATTAAAGACACTCACCACAACCTTTGGCCCTTGCACAAATCAATGCCTCGTTAGACCACTAATGATCGTTCATTGACTAATAAGATCTGTATCAACCTCTTGTGGCACATTGATTGGCCTTTGGCCTTTGTAGTGTCTGGTGCTTATATGTACAGCAGGAGTCGTCAGATGTGAGTCGGGGGAGTCAGATGATGAAAAAGCTTCAGCTAGGAATGGATGGGAAGCCGAAACTCCAAATAGACTCATTCTGAGGCTCCTCAGGCCGAAGCCCTTTTCTTCTGGCCCAACAGATCAATGGACATAGCCTCTGTGGGCACAGGTCAATCAGCACACAAGCTCAGAATTTCCCTCTCCTTCTTCTTTGCTCTCATCTTCTCTATATATCACAACAATTGTTCTATCCAGCCGGGCGTGGCTCCGCATATATGTGTTCTATCATCTCGGTGACTCAGAGTGCACTGG